CACGTCGTCCAGACGACAGTTGCCAGATCCGGTGTTTACGGCAAGTCTGTCGTGGCGTAAATGCTGTCCGAACAGGTGCGGGAATCGTTGAAGAGATTCGCCTACTCGGGCCACATGTTGACGCGTACAGAGCGACTGGAAGCCCTACGACAGAGTTGTGCGACGTCGAATCCTACTCCATCCTCGGAGGGGGTTGAGCCCATTCGGTGTGTTTCGCGGATCCACCGCCCTCGGATAGCAATTTGCAGCATTTCGACGCATTTTCCCACATCCCCTACTGGACCCTGCTGCCTTATGCGCCATAAACCGCTACCACACCATATAAATTCACATACTGCATTATGCTATACCAAAAACATTTGTGCAATTTCTCCAATTCTCGTGACCGAGTAGTCGTAGTTCAAGGCCACACCAATTTCATGCTCATATTCAAGCATAATTGTCATCAGTTTTCGTTTATTGGTATCTTTTCGAGACTACCAGTCGATCAGGCAGATGAGATTTATTCATCCCATTCCGTTTGAGGTAATAAGGAGACTGCTGTTCAACTTTCCCACAATACTATGAGTAGACTTTGCGTCTCCAGTCAATTTCACACGACCTAGCTTCCCATTAGTTATGCCATCCGGGCGGCAGCGGCCTATATTTTCGACCTCAGCGAGCTGGTCTCGTGAGCACCTGCAGCGGGACTCGAACCTGGGCTATGTGAATGCAGCGTATAATTTATACGCGTTAACGATAACGTCAAAATTGCCACGAGTGCTTTTAGCCCACAGAGCAGATGTGAATTTTACGGGAATCAAGTCCTTTGTTAGGTCACCTTCTATGGTGGGATTTTCGATGATGCAAAGTTGTATTCGCTATGGCGATCAACTGCATTACTTAGTTTCCGATTATGAGGAGGTTTTCGAGACTGCCCGTAGATTATATATAAAAATATATATATGATATGTATAATAAGGGGGACTTTTATTTTGTATGAAGGTGAATGAAGAAGAGATTCGTTGGTCGATCCCACCACATGAGGACGGACTGCAGTCGTTTAGCTTTTATACGATATTCATGTTGACGCAGTCCATGAGACATCTTCCTTCATTTCGGGTGAAAACGTGCTGAGCTTTCGTCCATCATTCTACGGACATCATCAGAGCTGGGTATGATTCTTGCCCAATTCTCACGTTAACACTATGGCAAAATTACTCAATAGACTCAATTGAGCCAAAAGGATATTAAAAATCGAGATAGAAATCAAGTGGCTTGGTTAATTATCTTTCATACCGGTTCTGTTACTTTTGCTCAAGTGTATG